ACAGAGTGTTCAAGGTCTCACTACTAGATCGGACTCGTAGTGATTCTCCTGTTCATAGCTCCCAACAGCTGGTATTACAGGTGTATGCCGCCATGCCCAGTCTCAATTGTTATCTCAGCGTGCCCCAGGGGCAGGGCTGGCACTGCAGGCCCAGGGATTGAACCCCCACCCCCTGCACCTGTTTGCAGGTGAACCCCTGGCCCCTGCACCTGCTTGCAGGCGCTTTAGTCTGCTGAGCTATTTGGCCAGCCCTGAGATTGTTTTCTTTTGACTGGTATCATGTGTTCTCTGTCCTTGACTAAGACATCCTTTTAGCAGTTTCTTCTCTACATGATTTTCTTAAAATTTCTTTTTTATTTTTGTCCTTTTGAGACAGCCTTGTATGCAGTTCAGGCTGGCTTTGAGTTCACTGTGTAGTCCAGACTGGTCTTGAACTCAAAATGATCTTCCTGCCTCAGCCTCCCAAGTGCTGGGATTACAGGTGTGTGCCACCATGCCCAGGTTTTTTTTTTGTTGTTGTTTTGTTTTTAATTTCTCAGAGTACCATCTCCTATACTCGCTAGAGGTCATGGAAGAACCAAACCATGTGTATTTATTTAGCACCTTCTCTTTTCTTCTTCAGTAATTCTTTTTTTTTTTTTTTTTTACACTGGATTAAGGACAATTTATTGTTTTTATGTACAGAAAACTCGAAGTACGCTTAGCCCAGTTTAGTGGCAAGCTCTTTAGCCTTCGCTTTCTCCAGCTTGGCAATACGAGCCACAGATTTTGGACCCAGAACATTGCCTCCCCAGTGACGGCGGATCTCATCGTATCTGTCATTGTAGTTGGTCCTGATGGCCTCCACCAGCTTAGCCAGAGCGCCCTTGTCCTCCGAGTTGACTTGTGTGAAGGCGACAGTGGTACAGGTCTTCCTGTGGACCAGACGCCCCAGCCTGGCCTTCCCCTTGATGATGCAGTAAGGGACCCCCATCTTGCGACACAGGGCAGCCAGGAACACGACCAGCTTGATGGGGTCCACGTCATGTGCAATCACCACGAGCTGAGCCTTCTTGTTCTCTACCAGAGTGGTGACGGTGTTG